ATATTTGGGAGTCTACCTGCCAAAGCAAACCCAAGAACTATATGAACACAATTACAAAACCGTTCTCACACAAATAAAGTCAGATCTAAATAATTGGAAAAACATCAGTTGCTCATGGGTAGTTAGAGCTAATATAATAAAAATGACAATTCTACCTAAGTTAATTTACTTATTCAGTGCCATACCAATCAAACTATCAAAAACTTATTTTCTAGAGCTAGAAAAAATAATAACAAGATTCATTTGGAATAACAAAAGGTCCAGAATATCAGGGGAACTAATGAAAAGAAATGCAAGGGAAGGTGGCCTAGCCATTCCAGATCTTAAATTGTATTATAAAGACAAGTTCTTATAAATGGAATGTCCCATATAAGGTCGTTGCTAGACTCCACAGATGTGAATCAAGATAAAAATTCACTAAATTCACATTAAGTCCCTACTATGCTCCAGGCTCTATGCTAAGTCCTGGGGACATAAAGACAAAATGGCCCCTGCCCTCAAGAAGCTTACCATCTATTGGGGTAACCCAACATGAACTCGGGTTAACAAATTAGTATGTGCAAAATAAGAAAAAGTCACCGCAAGAGGGAACACAAATTAAAATCAAAAGACTGCCCAGCACAGGAATTTTCACTGGACTTTATCTTGAAGGGAGGGAAGGCATTCTAGACCCGGGAGTCAACATAGAAGCTGAAGATGGACCAATACACGGAAGAGAGGGATGGGGAAATAAAATTGGAAGAATAGGTGGGAGCCAGATGAGAAAGAACCTTAGGTGATAAGATGAGGATTTTGTATTTTACTTCAGAACAGGGCTTCTTGACTTGGCGTGCACAGACTCTTTGGAGGGATCTACGAACATGGAAAGGTAGAAATTACATCTTCATTTTCACCAACCTCTAGCTGAAATTTAGCATTTCCTTCAATTATTTAGAAACTTTATTCTAAGAAAGGATCTGTGCCATTCACCTGACGACCCCCAGAATGTTAAGAACTCTTGTCTTTTAGACAAGAGGGAGCTATGGGTGGCTCCGGAGAGAGGAGGGAGACGTCACAGACTCAGAGCTAGAAGGAACCTTGGCAGTTGCCTATTGCAGAAGGCCTGGGTTCCAATCCTGCGTGAAACTTTGGGCAAATCACTGAATGTCTTTGAGAAGAGCATGGCTGGTCAAATTAAAATTTTTAGTGCTGCCATTTTTGAAGGCTGTCCTTTTGTATCCTGAAAAAGAAGGATATATGCTCATGAGAGAGGAAATTTGGTATAGCGGAAAGAGCACTGGGTCTCTGGGCCTCAGTTTCCTCATCTGAAGAAATTGGGGGGTTTGGACTTGGGTGTCTCCTCCAGCTCTGGTCCTGTGATCCCCTGGTTCCTTCATTTGAGATGGGGACGTGGAAGAGGTGAAGGTCACACAGATAGCGGCAGAGCCAAGATTCCAAACCAGCCCCTCAAAGTCCGATGTTCTTTCCACCGTAGCCAACTGCCTCTCTCCCAAGAGCACGCCTCTTCTTTAGAGGGACACGAGAGTACAGCCTACAGAAACCACTGCTAATAACAGTCTAGTATTTCCATTTCATGCTCTTCTTTGCCAGATTTCTGTTTCCATCTACACATTTTCCATTTTCCCCGTTTGATCAACATTTCAGCCCCCACCTGCCATCGCTTATCCATTTACCATCACCTGGCATGGGCTTGCTGCCATCTGTACCATCCATGTAGATTGCAGCCATGTTGTTTTAGCTGTTGCCAATTAAGGCATTGGATTGTTTTTTCTTTCTTGCTCATTTGCCCGGCCAGCCTCACTCCTGCACTCTCGTGATGGCCTTGAAATGTTTTCTCATCCCCAGGATCACCCATGGGGCCACACATTTGTGGGTTTGGCTCAGTGCCGTCTGATTCTGTTCTCAGCTGTGTGTGGCACCCCGAGGTTGGCCCCTCATGCCACTCCCAAGAGCAGATTATCCATCAGCAGGGGATATTTTTCCCAATAAGGAGAGCTCTGCCAACCTCCATCCCTGCCCTCTCACTGGTCCCACTCTTGACCAACAACAAAGATTTACAAAAGCCTTCCCAGGACTTGGGTGTATACTCTGCCATGACTGAGGATCAGTGAAGCTGATTGATCAGAGTGGGATTGGGCCCTTTGGTAGCCCTTGTATTTCCAGCCTAGGCAAGCTAGGGAGACTCAAAAAAAAGAAAAGAAAAAAACCCACTTGTTCCGAGGGTGGGAATTGAGAAGGGCAGGCTCTTATTTTAGCAAGTGAAAGTGTTATTTCAAATCTGCTTTTCAGCGCCTTCCTTTCCCCCACCTCCACTCCACCAAAGGCCCCCTCATTGTCCTAGAAACTGAAACTGTAGAGTTGCCTTGTGACTCAGTGTACTTCCTGTCATCTCTGTCATGTGTGTGGTGAGATGCTTCCCACCAGGTAGATGACACATATTAGTAGGTTGGCCCAAGGCCCACGGCCTTTTCTCACGTCCCTGCGTCCTTTCCCCAGGACCGACAGGAGCCTCGGTCCAATGTGTCAGTATGAGGCTCACCTTTTTAACCTCGGGGAGTTTGGGCCAAAGCCCAGTCTTTGTGGATTGGCTAAAGATGCTCAAGATATTGGAACCATAAAATGTTGGGACTAGAAGGGACCTTAACGTCATCCAGTCCAGCTTTGCCATTATACGAAGGACGGAGCTAAGGCCTGGGGGTGCAGATGGCTTTCCTGTAGGTCAGCATTCGCTCCTGGGGTGGGTGGTCCCCTGTTTTAAGGAGGTCACTGTGGCATCATTAGAGAGTTCACAGAATCGCAGAATTTTTTTCAGAGTTGGAGATGACCTAAGGGACCATGTGAACTGAAGTCCCCTCTACCACATACGTGACCAGGGATGGGATCATATGTTGGCTTGAAGGTGTAATGACGAGAGCAGTGGGCTGGGAGTCGGGAAGACCTGAATTCAAATCTGATCTCAGATAACCTATATGACTTTGGGCTTAGCCTTTTGAGGCCTGTTTATTTATCTGTAAATGAGGCAGGGGAACTCAGAGGTCTCTCAGGTACCTTCCAGCTCCAAATCCGTGGTCCTAAATTTCATTGGTCAACGGTCCACAAGCATTTATTAAACACCTAGTGTGTGCCAAGCCCTGTGCTGAGTGTTGGGCATACCAAGAAAGGGGACAGGCAGTGCCTGACCTGGAGCAGCTCCCAATCTAGTGGAGGAGGTGACGGGTAAACGACTCTGGGCCAGCAAGGCCGCCATTTCACTCTCACAGTCAGGGAGTTCTACCTTCTTTTCATTGCCTCCTTTCCCTTCCCACCCACCTCTAGGGCTGAGCCCCCTCCACAGTCTTTCTAATACTTGGACACAGCTCTCATGCCCTGGATCCATCTCACCTTCTCTTCTCCCCAGTTCCTTTAGCCAGCCTCCCATGGCATGAGCCCAGGGCCCTCCACCATCCTGATGCCTGTGGAGATGATGGGCAGGCAAAGCCCCGGGGGTTTACATTGATTCCTCTAGAACCTGCATTCAGCTCACGGCTGCTCAAACACTTTGTCAATGCTAATGACCCTTCTGGAGCAGGCTTGGTGTAGTCAGATGGTCCAAAGACCTCTGGGAGACTCAGGGAGTCTTCTCTCAGCAAAGCTCGTCTGGAATGGCCTTGACTCTGTAGGGAGGTTATTTCCTGAAAGCGAAGTGGAGTGGAGTGACTGGCCCTTGGCCCATTGGCTCTCCCCACTCAGCCCTGCTGTGGCCCGGAATGGTGCCACGGATTCCAGGTGTGAGCCACAGCACCGTGACTCAGTAAGTTCAGGTGGGCCCATAGCCCGGCACATGGACCAGGTGTCCCCATTCCGTAGCAGGCACTTGACAAGTGCCCGTCCATGGATTGTTCTACGTGCTCATGATCAGATGGGCGAGGCTGGGCGGGCGAGGAAGTCTGAAGCTTCAGGTTGTTTGCTGCAGGGGGGCTTGGTCATCCTTCTGTCTCCTCCACAACAACAGAAAGGAGTTTCTGTCCAGGCATACTTTTTTTTTTTTAATCTGCTGGACTCTGCTTTTGCTTTTAATTTTTAATGATTTTTTTTTTCAGCTTAAAAGTATTTTTTAGTATAAAGCAATTTTTCTTACTAGAACCTACCTATGTGAGTTACATACTGCAAACATCATCCTGTCCCATTTTACAGATGAGGAAACTGAGACTTGGCAAGGCCAAAGGACTTGTCCACAGCCATATGGGTGAGGAGTCCCAGAGCCAGGACTCTAGGCCCTCCCATCTTCCCCCCGAAAAAAACCCACTGGCCTTGTAACAAATATATATAGTCAAACATAAGTTTCCCTCATCAGCCACAAATTTGTGTCTCATTCTGTATATTTAGTCCCACTACCTTAACAGACTGGAGGAGCCAGCTGTACCACTATGCCCATAGGTAAAAATTAAGGGTCAGAAGTCACAGCTGATTTCACAAACAGCAGAATGGCATGATGGAAAGACTGTGGCTTGAAATCCGGGCTCTCATACCTCCCACTTATATACGTGGTTGTGGGCCAGGCACTTAGCCTTGCTAAGCCTCAGTTTCCTCATCTGTAAAATGGGTCACTGTTAGAAACGTGTCCTGTAGGTCTATGAGTGTGCTGTTCGGTAGTTCCATTCTCTCCACAGCCCCCTCCTCTCCAGTGCCCGGCTGGCTTCTAGACTTCAAAGGGAGGCACTTAAGGGCTGAACCCAGCAGAGCTGAGTGTCCGTGGGCCCGAGGCTCCTTCTGCTTCCTATGCCCAAATAGAGAATGATATACCATGTGTTTCCTAGGTTGGCTGTGCTCTTGATATCAAGGATTTCTCAGATGACTTGGGGTCCCTAACGCACGTCTCCTGCTCGGCCAGCGCCTGAGTGTGTGGTGGGGTTTATCCTTACTCTCGTATCTCTGGGCTCTTCTGTGGCCCATCAGACCCGGATTGATCACAGTAACATGATTACAAAGGTTTTGTGTTTTCTTTTCTCTCGCCTTTTTAGCGTTCGATCAGCTTCCGCAGCGACAGCCGCCCTGACATCCTCGCCCCTCGACCCTGGTCCAGAAATGCCGCTCCTGCAAGCACCAAGCGAAGGGACAGCAAGCTATGGAGTGAGACCTTTGATGTGTGTGTCAATCAGATGCTTACCTCCAAGGAGATCAAACGTCAAGAGGTAGGCTCTTGGGCCCTGACTGATCTGTGTGGCCAGTCAAGCGGAAGTGATCACTGCCAGGAGAGAGAGGTTTCTGTCTTGGGCTCCCATCCTGGCCTTGTTCCGAAACGCTCTCGCCAGTAGTTCATTCTGGTGCAGGGAGACAGATGAGTTAAAATCTGAACTTTCCCAAGCAAATAGATGAGTAGTAGGCTGTTCAAATTGCTGGTTTAAAAAACAAACAGACAAACCACTGCTGGATTCATTTAAAGAGTGAGTTCCCTAAATGCATTTAAAAAAACTTTTTTTAGAAATTTGATTATCAGTTAGCACCTTAAGTCTTGGAAAGGATGGTGGGCCAGTGTGGTCCAGTGGAAACCACCCAGGTTCATAGGTAAAAGGACAGGAGTTCAAATTCCATGTTTGGTGCTTGCTTACTTACGTATGACCTTGGACAAGCCCTGGGCCTTGTCTGGGCCTCAGTTTCCTCATCTGTAAAACAGCAACACTCGTGCTTACACCACGCACCTTACAGGGTTGTTCTGAGGACACCGTTTTGTAAACCGTAAAATGCTGTGCAAACGTGATGCCGATGCTTGTGATTCTCAGAGAGATTGGATCTGGGGCTAGTATGGATGCATCAGTAAAAATTAAATAAAGCCCCAGCTGACTGAGTGGACCCTTGACTGAAATACATTTCCCTTCTTTGGGGGGGAGGGGCAGGACCTGTAATTCCTTTTGATTGGGAACTCCCAGTGTGTAAACTCCCTCTGTGTTCACAGATGAGCGCCTCTGGGGTCATCTATAGTCTAGAATTTCCTCAAGCATTGAGGCATTGGGTGATTTCTGAGGTCAGAGCTTTCCTGAAAAGAAGCTGGTGTGAGATCCACCTGGTTAATAGTGACCAGAATCTGAACCCTGGCCCTGCTGCTGAGATTTGGGGCGTTTTGGGTCCAGACCTGTGATTTCATCAGCGTAAGGTGTTGGTGCGTGAGGAAACACCTTCCTCCGTGCCCTGCGATTTACAGAGCTGCTGGGGCACTGAGTGGTGATGAGTAACTTACCCAAGGTATGTGTTAGAAGGAAGACCTGAACCCAGGTCCCTCTGACTCCACCCACTGCACTGCCCTGCCCTGCCCTGTCATAAATGGAAAGCATCTTTTCTGAAGTCTATGCAGTTTCCCAAGCACAAAGTAAAGGATGGGGTCAGAAGGGAACAAGCATTTATGAAGTACCTACTATTTGCCAGGCACTGTCAATGCTTTATAATTATTATTCCTTTTGGGGACTTTGGGGCATGTGGACTCTGGCCAGGCAGGGGGTCCAGAGGGAGGCAGAGAAGCCCAGCGCCCTGGAAGACTGTAGCCCTGCTTGCTACAAAGGCAGTTTGTGAATTGGACGCTCGGGATGGAGACGGGCAAGGGGAGAAACCGTTAGTGTATCGTTGCTTTCCTTTTACGCACTGACGCCCGAGCTTGTTTGGAGGGGGTGCCTTAGAGCAGCAAGTGGCCCTGGGGGCCGCCTGGTCCTGCCTCCCATAAATGATGGAGAAAGAAGCAGGCGCACACGCCACAGTGAGTGCCCAGGGACGACACCTGATCGGCATCCCTGGTTTCTGGGCGCTGCCCCTGCCTAAATCCCAGAGGGAAGAGTTTGGGCGGCCACCCTACAATTGACCAAATCCACCACTCTGGAATCACCACAACCACAGCCGAGATGCCTCTCTGTTTATTTACAAAGGCACAGGAGCTGGCCTAGCGACCGTGGTGATGCTGGCTAAGTACAGTGTGTGGCTTAGAAATGAAGGGTTTTATTTGGTGCTGTAATCACAGATGGTTAGCGCTAAAAACCCTCCTCCCCTTTTACAGATGAGAAGCTGTGGCCTACAGTCTGAT